TCTGTTTCAGCTACAGGTATTAAGGTTAGATTTGATAGCTTTATGCTTGACATCCACCAGCGCCGGGAAGAGTTCAACACTCAAGACCAAGGCCACAAGACGAATGGTAGAACAACTGGTATAAAGATTCACGCAGCTCAGCTTGATCTTGTATCTGCGGATGTTCGTGCTGTCTCTGCTAGTATTAAAGGCACGACCACCGAGGCAATCAAGAAGAATTCGATTTCGACCTTGATGACACATCAAGATGAAGACGGTGCAGACCTCTCCCATTTCACGATTCCTGACAATGATTTTAGCTGGATTGATATGGATGACTTTGTCGAGCTCGACTCAATCCTACCCTCGGAAGCAACTCCGGACACAAAAATTTTGCCGCTCGCGTATGCTCCTCGTGTCACATATTTCAGGCAGACCGACATTGGCGGCACCATAGATGGAGACCCTGACCGCACGAGTCCTTTCGGAGACGAACCCACCCATGTCTGTATAATGAGCCAGGATGATGATCCTAGGAGGGTCCAATTCCAGCTGATCCAGTCTCGATTGGAGCAGCTGAAGGCTCAGATTGTTGCCAACACCCGCAACATCGGCGATGCTGAATTGCGTATGATCCGTGATAACGGTAATGATCCAGAAATAAAAGCTGAATTCGAGATGCTTAGCAAGCATGCTACCGTCTTGAAAGAAAAGCTAATGTTCATGGAAGATATGTTACAGCAAGTGGCAATTAAAACATCAGCAGATAATCAGGATGCTTCAGGAGATTCTGGGTCTACGAGCCACGAATCTAGAGAATGGATCGATACAGGAGATGGAAAAGTTAGAATACCGTCAGGGACCGACTTTGCGAGCGATTTCAAGAATAGGTTTGTTGTCCATAATGTTCAATTGAAGTGGAACAATCTGCTGCGAAATATCATTCTCCGGTATAGCCATCAAGTTAGCCAACGGCGCGGCTTCGTTTACTATCTATCTCGGCCTGCCGTCAAGTTCATCCTAGACATTGTAGAGGAGCAGACCAGGGCCAAGCAAAACAACAAGTCCGCCAATACCCCCAATAATGACGCACACCATCCTTCAGCCACAAATAGCACCAGGCAGTCTAGTGAAACCGACCCGGATATCGAATACCGTATCAAACAAATCCTGAAAGATGGTAGAAAGTATGTTGACGCCGACGGATACTCTTCAACCGAAGGCCCTACCAATATAAACATGGAGGACATCACCAGTGGTATAGCAGAAGAATTCGCTCCTCAGAACTCATACCATGTCCGCTTGATCGCACCGCAAATACAGCTCCAAAGTGAAAAGAACAAGAAGCACGTTGTTCTAATCACCGGAAAGGGAATGGAACTCAAGGTGGTCGAAGTTATGGAGAAGGCAAGATTGTCTGATCAGGTCAGCGGGTTAGTCCAGCGACGTTTCTTGCTCAGAATGGACAGTGCACAGTTCTTTGTGACGCATCAGAAATGGTTCTCGGGTCAACTGCTGTCGATGTATTCTGGCAACACATATGGAACACCTGCCGGTTCCTCCTGGCCGCCTTGGGTACCTATGGAAGTTATGTACGATTTCCAGTCGGATCCTTTTGGCTTCAAACGGGTTGTGCAAGAGACATCAGCCACGCTAAGATATGACAAATTCAATACTCTTCGGTTAAAATACAATGACGAAGTCAATACGGAGGCCAATCCTCTGGCGACGGAGAGCACCGAAAGCAGGATGGATAGTCTCTGGGTAGATTTCCCTCAGGCTAGAGCTCTTTGCAATTCGTCGCAATACTACGCGATGTACGTTATCGTGCTTGACCTTCTTCTATACAGCGAGCCTCTTGAGAAGACGAGAAATGAGAGGTTGGAAAAGATTATACTGGCCTCGGACTTCAGCGACCTTCGAGGAACCCCGGAAATGGTCACTAGATTGCAGGAGCGTATCCGTCAACTAGAGGACATCAAGACACACTTCCAAATCCATTCGAAGTACTTAGACAAGAAGGGATGGCAGGATCGATTGGTTCTGGAACGCGATCTCGCAGCGTGCGAAGATGAATTATTCTTTGTGATGAAAGCCATTACTACCTCGCAACGGAAATACGATAATGCGTCGCAGAGTAATGCTCTACTGAGATGGACTATATCCGCCAAGGAAATCGTTTGGCATCTTATTCGCGACAACAACGAGCCCCTCGTCGAATTGCAGCTAAGAGATGTCGAGTATGACCGAACCGACAACTCGGACGGATCTCACATCAATCTAATGCAAGTGGGCAAAGTGTTAGGTTTAAACCTTATGCCAGATGCGATCTATCCGGAAATGATTGCTCCTTACTTTGAGGATGAGAAGGCAGCCTTCGCCGGTTTAGAGGGCAAACAAATGGTCCGTGTCTACTGGCACATGCTAGAAGCTATAGCAGGCATACCTGTGATGGACCATTTCGAAGTAAATCTATTTCCCATGAGAATCCAGCTCGAACATGAAGTTGGGAAGAAACTTTTTGAATACATATTCCCTGGGATGGATGAAGATAAGGCCGATGAGCAGTCTGACTCGCCATTTATTCTGAGGTCAGCCTTCCCCGGTGAGACGGAAGAAGACGACGTGCCCGACGAGGCTATGTCCAGCTCTAGTAGGCTTGATTCTGCCACCTCTGACAAGGAGCCTTCGTTCTCAACGCGGCCTGGATCATTAGAGCTCCGTCTTCGACCTACCTTGGCCTTGGATTCACGCCAGCCTGAAGACAGTTATCAGAAGCCCAAGGCCATAAGCGTCCATTCGGGTGATGGTGGCAGTGTATTCCGGCTCTTTAGCTCGAAGACGGTTAGTAAAAAGCCGTCCTACGAATCTATTCAATCAGGTGCCGCTTCACAGAAAACGGGGATTGGCCGAGCCGCAACGATCGCTGCAGTCAACAACAGCGAAACCAAGAAGAGTGGACGGTTCGGTCTCTCCCGGAAATCTGGCAACGCAGACGATAAGCCTTCGGACGACTTGACAAAGATGATAGCACGTGCCTCAAACTACGTAACCTTTGCGTATATCAAGCTTCCGTCAGTTGTCCTCTGCCTTAGCTACAAAGGTAGAGGTGACCGAAATATCGAAGATGTGCATGACTTCGTCTTCCGACTGCCAACTATCGAATACCGTAACAAGACATGGTCCAATCTCGACCTAGCCCTGGCGTTCAAATCTCGCGTGATCAAGGCACTCATCTCTCATACGGGTGCTATCATCGGTAATAAGTTCAGCAAGCATCGGCCTAACACAGCACAGCAAAATAAGCTGCGTGAGCTAGCAACTAGCAGCGTCCTCCTTGCAACGCCAAGTATGTCCAATAGTGGCGACATTAGTGATGATTCGTCAAGCTTATATGGAACGAGCCCGGTTGATTACTCACGGTCACCACCGAGGAGCATAAGAAGCTCACATTCGAACATTCCGGGACCGCAGCGACCATCAAGTCGGAGTTCTAGTCTTGCTTCGTCCCGCTCATACAGTCATACATTCAGCAATAGCGCAGAAAACATGAATACACCACCTGTGCCTTCATTCGTCAAGATGACACCTCCGACGCCCATAGACCGTACGCATAGTGGTCTTGGAATTGACATGCCTCGACCAAAAACCAGCGCGAGTACGAGTGCCGTGGATTCCTTGAGCCCATTCCGGCCAACTACTAGCAGCGGCGTCATCAGCGGCTTCACCATGATTGAAGATAGAGGAAGGCGGAAGTCAAGCACTCCGGGCTTCATCAAGGGGAAATTGAACGCGTTGACGAGCCGACTTAGGGATCGGGATAACAACGACGCTAAGAATAACCACGAAGACGAGCAAGAGGATGACGACGAAGATAGATGGATGTGATAGACGAAATAGAGCAAGGCGCAGCGGTCGGACCACATGGGCCGGTATAAATCAACGAAGTAATCGATAATTGCCCCCGAAGTCAAAGAGGCGCACAGGCGTATATATGTATAAAAACCCGAAAGCTCGCCACGCAGCCTGGATGGATTGTAGGAATAACAGGATACCGCACCAAGCCCACAAGTCGTTTTGGGTAGCCTCCACCTTTGACCACGGTCATTTTTAAATTTTCTCTTCGGTTTTTATCATGAGCATTTACACCCTTTTTTCATATACACATTCGGAGTTAGGGAGTTGAGGTCGGCTAGGAAGCTGGTAAACCCTCACGCACTAGAAATAGACAACAACAAGCAACAATAGCTTTAGGACTCCCTAATAAGCGTTTAAGTATATATATAGTTTGCCAGCGATATATATTTGGTTTGGGGGCGGGAAGAATAAGCATTGCATTGGAGGAGAGGGGAAAAATTAGGTGTATTAATGGGTTTTTTTGATATTAATATTGGTAGTTGAATAAGATGAATACTTACCTGACATAATTTTTTAGTATATATCGGGTAGAAGTTGTAGGAGAGTTGACGGTATATACCTGATAATATCAAGCTGTATTAGCAACGTTGAGTGGAAGCGAAAGCTCAGGTCGTGTCAGAAAGTGATTTAATATGTATTAGTGGTAATAATGTTGAATAAGAACACGAGTTCTATATTGAATTAAACTCGTTCGTTAGTTACCTAACTATATAAATTCGAAAGCTCTTAAGAGGCTATCTCATGCTGGCTTCGAAGAACCGCTAACCTAGAATTGCGGCAGGAAATATCTTAAGACATATCCAGACCTCATTGGGCGAGCATACTGACCCCCTTATTAAGCTGTAAATCACACGTATCCTCTCACGCTAATATCACCTAATGCATGCTATTCCTACCTTCTAACAACCCTCCCCCTTCACTCCTCTTTTTCCTCCCCTTTTTACCCCTATCTTCTCACTTTCTCTCTCCATACTCCCTCCTCCTCCTCCTCCTCCTCCTCTTCCCATTTCCCTATTACCTTTCCACTTCCACTTCCACTTCCACTTCCACTTCCACCACCAACCCCTACCCCTACCCCTGCCCCACCCCATCCCACCCCACGCCTAACACTGCTTCGAAGCCGGCACCTTCGGATCCATGCCCAGATCCCGCAGGTACGTCTCGCACTCGTACCCGTAGCGCTGGTCGCCGCCGTGCGCGCGCGTGTACGCTTCCACCCAGCACAGCGGACAGACTAGGTACGCGGCGTTGGCGAAGCCGATCCACGGCCGGCCCTCGTGCATACGCGTGTTCTCGTGGCATGGGCATGGGCAGCTGAGCATTTGCGGTGGCGGTGGTGGTGCTGTCGAGTCTTTGTCCTTGTCCGCGGTGGTGGTGGTAGTGGGTTGGTTTTGCGATGGTGTGTTGGGCGGTGGTGGAGGAGGAGGAGGGGGCGTGCTTTTGTCGGTTGGAGACGGGGTTGAGGGTTGTGTTGACATTGCGTTTGTACGATGAGTTTGCTTGTTAAGGACTTAGGTCGTAGGAGGGGAGAGCAGCGTAGGTCGTTACGTCTGTGTAAGTTCGCGTGCGTGAGGTCTTTGGTCTATCAAGAGTCGAATACGTCTTTAACGGTAGCTAGCAGTCGTCGGTACTAGTTGAGAGTACCTTACCTATATTACATCGCAGCGTGTCAAGTTTAACCAAAGCAAGACAGAAGAATAGAAATAAAATCACCAGCAGCAGCAGCAGCAGCAGCAATACCCACACGCAAGAGCAACACTCGCGTGTCCATGCGTCATCGTAGGGACCTCCCTCCAAATCCCTCCGCGAGCCCGCAAAGCACGACCGTAGACAAAGGCGCTGTGGAACAACGGCCGGCCTTCGAAACTAACTGATAGGCTCGAGCCGCGAGAGTCACGAGCGACAAGTGTCACCGCAGGACAAGAGAATGCCGATAGACGGGGGAAGTAGTTCTGTCTTGTGCCATCGTGAGGCAATGGGGGGAGGGAGGGGGGCTTTCTCTCTGGGCTACACGTGTGGCCGACGGGGGAAACTACCTACGTCGTGGTCGTGAATCACGTATTAGTCCCGACGACGGCATGGGGTAGCAATGTATAAGATCGACTTGAAGTATACGTATGACGTATGTATGTATGTATTTCAGCATGGGCAGGCAGACTCGTGATAGAAAGGCGTTTCGTGATCTTTCCACTATCCGATACTCGCACTACCTAATATAGTTGCAGGATCCTCTTGCCTTGCCTACTCTAATACTCACCCTATAGAGTTTCCTTATAAAAATGTATTACCCCTGAGTAGAAAGTGCAGTCAGCCCCTGGAGATAAAAAGGGAGAGATGTATGTATTAGGTTAGGTAAATGAAAAAAAAAAAAATATTGGAAGCCCTCATACTACCCCTAATTTTTGACAGCTCCGAGCCCTCATATTCATCAAGGTATAGTACCGTGTCAATTCCCATTATATCCAGCTGTTTAGGTCGACAATGGGGCGGATGGATGATACATGCGATAATCGGGAATTATAGCGGCAAGACACATCCGAGTCGTATGGCTGCAGGTCTTGGTATGCGGTTTATAAATAAACCCTGTAGCAAGACCAAACCCTTCCAAGGAACTACTTGGTTCGCTCCATGACGAAGTGATGCCGATAACCATTTGCTTGATTACCTAGGTACACATGACCATGCTTCAGCATCTCGTCACATGTAACAAATGGGAATAACCTAAATCAGATGGCTGTCAAAACGGTAGACCGTATCATAGTTATCATAGCTTATTAGGTGGTAATAATACATAGCCAAGTCATAAGCCAGATCGTAAATAAGCCCTCTTAGTATTCGAAGTCGTCATCCACAGACGGGCCCTTGCTCTTTGTCACACTCTCCTGTTTTCTATATAGCTCCGCCACTTGACGACTACTTGTCGCCTCATCTGGCTTCTTATCGTCTCTCACTTTGATGAATCTAGGGAACCGCAAACTAATTCCCTTCTCGCCGGACGGGTCGACGTTCTCCTTCAGCCCGGCCTTATACCTTGGGCTCAGTGTTAAATCCGCTGTTCGCACTTCCCAGACATAACGCGGTTCGAACCAGACGTCTGGTTGATGCTGTCCACCCGATGAGTGCGAGTAAAACGGTTTTGGGCGATCAATTACAATCTCCGAGAGTTGCTTATGAACTTCTTCAAGAACTTGCTCCGAAAAGCCGGTGCCGACATTGCAGATCGTTTCGTAAGTATCAGTAGCCGCGTTATAGCAGGCGAGAAGGAAAGCACCATAAACAGATGTACGCTTGCCCTTACCGTAGTAGGCGCCGAGGACTACTAGATCAAGAGAGTCGCCTAGTCCTGCGAGGTAGTCTTTTTTTATCTGCTCCGTTATTAGTAACCACCGATAAATAGGTATAGTTAAGTTCTTACCTTGAGCCAATTTCGACTTCGTTTGCTGGGCTCGTACCCACTCTCTGAACCATCGAGCATCTTGACCATCAAGCCTTCGCATGAGGCCTTGACACTCTCGTCCAAGAATGTCTGGATTTCGTCGAGTTCCCTACCGTTCATGTGTGTCGCAAAAGCAAACTCGCCCTCCACTGGTTGGAAAGCACTGTGAAGCAACTCGCGACGTTCTCGGAGCGACTTTTCGACTACCGCCTCTCCGTTCAGGAATAGCAAGTCGAAAGCAAAGACGCAGACTTTTACTTTCACGTCCTCCACCTTGACGTCCTTCTTCTTCCTCGTCATCAAATTCTGGAATGGAAGCAACTTTTTCTCGGTTACATCCCAAGCGACTGTTTCGCAATCCAACACGAAACTCTTGGTACCATCCTTGACCCAAGTCTGAAGCTTTCCAAGGATATCGGGGTATTTCTTGGAAAGGTCCTCCGAGTTTCGCGAGAAAATAGACGCAACACCCTTGGCAGCTTCCTTTGTAGCACCGGGAAGAGCGTCAATATACTTTTCCGAGTGGTCCTTAGCAACATAATGAATCTGTGCCCTCTCACCGTCATACTTATACTCGCAGGTAAAAGTCTGGTTTTCGAACCGATCAAGAACTTCCGTGATTGCTTTTGTAGGCTTCGCAAGCATGGGCTTGAGAGGGACTCCTGGGCGAAGCTTACAAGTCTCTTTCAGCCTCATGATGCCATTCTTGATCATGGTTGGGATAATCACATCCCAGCTAGGAAGCTCGCTATTTCATGTTAGAACAGCCAGTTAGTGTTCAGTAATATTACTAACCTGTACACCGTCTTCAATGTGGCCTCTGCTTCTTCTATCTCCTTGGTGCTGGGTACTATGCCTTTTTGCTCCGCTTCGTGACAGATCATAGCTTGTGCTATGGCGACAAGAATCGTCTTCTCTGCTAAGCCTAACCTAAGCTTCCCTTCGAGAAACCGGATCAGATACTTGGCTTCGCTGGGACCACCCTTATCCTTGTGAATATCGACCTTGCCTGTCGAGTGAGCATCGGCAGACGCCAGTAACTTTTTGATTCCATCAACTTTCCTACCTTGGGCGCCATTCCCAGCCACAGTAGCAATGTCTATCAGGCCTTGATGCACACCCCTGATAGTTAATGGCTTAGGTTTGAACATGGTTGGCTGAGTTGATCTGCTCTTGACTGCAACAAGACCTAGGTCGCCGATCTCTTTCTGATCGGCTTTTATGACCTGTAAACTGCGCCCTGTCGTTTCACCTATGGCCCTCATAATCAGTGATTCGCCAATACCAAGTTCAATGCCTGCATAATCAGGAGCTAATTTACTCATCATCAATAACACCGTCGGAAGGAAATCGTCCGGGGTTAAGCGTAAGATTTGTCGGAGGAATAAAGAGCAATACTCGGTGATCTGAAGTCGTTTTGACGTAAGTTCGATAAGTGAGAAAGTCGTGCACAATGCAGCGTAAGGCACTGGCTCTCCGGGCTTCCAATCAGGATACGGGTCGTCCACTTTGCTCTGAAGCTTGGTTTGAATTTTTTCTCGGGCCTTAGCCGCAACCTCCGGTTTCTCATCCTCATCTTCCTCCTTTTCTATTTCAGATGCAGACTCAGAAGCTTCCTCTTTGGCATCGCCATCCTCCTGCTTGGGTGCTGGCGACTCTTCTTTGACGGGGACGGACTTGGTAGGGGACTTGGTAGGGGACTTGGTAGGGGACTTCTTTGGAGATCGTTTGCTAGCTCCAGTTGATTTCTTAGGCTTAGCTGGCTTAGCTGGCTCAGCATCGACCATGGCCTCGTCTTCCTCGTCCTCATCATTAATTCGAGGGCGACCCCTTCGTCGTCTTTTTACCACAGGTGCTTCTTGTTCAAGCTCTTCCTCGGGCTCCTCAGCTTCAACCTTAACCTTCGCAGAAGATCGTTTCGTCTTACTCTTTGGGGAAGATGGAGACCGAGATCGCTTTCTAGTGTCTGGTTGCATCGAGGTTAGTTATGGGCTAGAAACAACGGTCATAGTGAAAAGTAATTCGAACCTTTCGTGGAATCGCCATCTTCTGTCGCATCGGCGCTAGATTTCCTTTTTGGTGAAGCTACCTCTTGGCCATTGGCTGAAGATTCCGGCTCCTCCTTTGCTTTCTTAGCCGACTTTGTGCTAAAAGAAAGCTTCGACTGCTGTGGTGCAGGCTTAGGGCCATTGGGTTGGCCGAAGAACTTTCTAACGTGAGTATTAGCAAGTAATCATCTCGCACGGCACGACAGACAAGGAAGACCCACCCTAAGGTGGCCTGTGAAGATTTCACATACCCCAAGGTAGCTTGCTTGGGCGCCATTTTGAGCAGTCTAGTAGCAGACGTGCTCGTTGCTACTTTAAGTAGACAACGCAAGGCCAGATTGGAGAAAATGGTGTATTGGGAAGAAATTAGAACTGTCTAAGTAGGATGCGACTTCCGACGTTTTATTGTCGTATTGCGGATTCGGAGTATTGGCAGGCAGGCAGGCAGGCAGGCAGGAGGCAGCAACCAACAATTTCCTCTGCATTGAATTTGACGCGACTTCTCTAGCTTAACCGCGTTAAATGGAATTGTAACGCGAGATTGCAGGTATCATACAGTGCTATCCTTCATAGTTAACTAGGTATATATACTGTGTGATGCTCTATCGATAAGTATATCTCGGCTTATACTTGTCCGTATCGGCTTCAACTTAGCGACTAATAACATTATGTAGGTAGTGACTAACAACAACAAAATCATGAAGATTCCTTATATAGCATTGCGCCGACTGCAAAAGTCTCAATGCATAGGTTATACAATCTCCAGGTCTTACCCTCTTGTTTGGCGCCGTGGATATAGCAATTCCAATGGCTCTCTTCAAGGTAACTTTGAGACTATCAGGGCTGAGATGCTGGCTCGCCCGGCTCAGTTAAGCTGGGATGTCATGTCACCAACAAATTCCTCCCTTCTCAACATAGCTCTAGCCGACTTCATACCTAAAAATTGTCAGGCTCCGGCATACCAGGCGGGCGCTAGGACTATCGAAAAAGTTGATGCTAGGTACGAGCTTCCGCAAGGTCACCATCTCGTTTACTTCCCGTTGCAGAAGACCGCCTCTGAGTTATGTCACGACGGGACAGATCCCTTACACAGTCCTGGCGGCCCGTTTGAGCGGCGCATGTGGGCCGGTGGCTCTATCGAGTTCAACGATGATTTTCGGTTGGACTCTTCGAAAGTTGTGTGTAAGGAGAAAGTAGATCAGGTCACAGTGAAGGGGTCCGAGGGACAGGAGAAGATCTTTGTTGATGTACTACGCGAGTATATGAGAGAGGGCGACTTCAATAATCCGTCTACGTCTCGGGGGATCAGAGAGCGAAGAGGTCTCGTCTTCATGCGTGGGGTAAATAAAGAACAAGCCCGTGAAAACCTAGCAAAGGCAGCCTTAGGGAGAGGGAGAATTGTCAAGGGTATGTCAAATTTGAATACATGCCCCTTTTCATCCCTCGATAAATTAATTCTGCTCGTCTGTGAGCTCCGTGATCATGGCTGAAATTCTAGCAAAGCCCCCAATGCCCCCGATTTCTCAATCGCGCTCACGCCAACACCCACACTTCTCTTCCACTACAGCGCATTGACATTCAACGCACACTTGATTCACTTGGATCCAGAATTCTGTCGTAAGGTTGAAGGGCACCGTAATCTACTATTCCATGGCCCTCTCTCCCTTACCCTGATGCTCTCCGTGCTAAGGTCGCGGCTTGAGCCGGATGAGAAAGTCCACAAGATCGACTATCGAAACTTAGCTCCTCTCTATGTTAATGAACCTCTGCGTGTCTGTGTTAGGTACAGTGGAAATGAGGAAGAGTCGGCAGAAGGCAAGTCCCGAAAATGGGAGGTTTGGGTAGAGGACCGAGACGGGGGTCTCAGTGTAAGAGGCACCGCTGTAAGTCAAAGAATACGTAAATAGGGGCAGATTAACGAGAACACATTAGTGACTATAAGAGCTAAATATACTATACTGATTTACATACACTAGCATAGGACAATGGCCAGTCAGACATTACGCAGGAGTCATTGCTTAAAATCACTGTGACAAAGTAAAAATGACATGAAAACGTATCTAAGGGATGTGGACAGTATGTCCTAGCAACCGTATCACCTTGACTATGCAGAATATACAATTCACAAAATATAGTTGCCATGCTTGTTAATTTATTATCACGTTCTACAACCTTGCAAGGTTATCCGATGCCTATAAATACACGTCCTCGCGTTTGCAAGATGAAGGAGTCATGAGTATTCGTTCCATTTCATTTGCTCTCATGCATTGATTAACCACCAAAGCTCAGCGCTGCTGCGCAAATGCTACTCATGAAACCGCCACGAACGACAAACCCCCGAAAAATAGAAGGGAGATTAATTAAGAACCTCAATACTGATTCTCCGTTTCGCCGCGTCGATGCATCATCTGATTTCCTTGCCCATCTGTGAGACTAAAATGCCTCCATCATCGTCCATCTCATGGATATTTCCGTTAACTAATCCTTAAACCAGTCTAAAATTTTCAGTCACGACTTCAACGTGCCATCCCATAAAAACTAAAGGTTCAGTGATGCCACCTTAGTGGACATCGCTGGTAATGAAAAATACGAGGTCCAAGTATATTGATAGCGACCGTCCCAAATACCACCGAATCGGGTAACTCGGTAACTGAACGGATTCGCGTCTGGTCAAAGACCATTCAGAGATCCTCAAATCTGGACGCCGGCGGACTCGACTTCGTTATGTTGAGAATTGAATAATTGGTCGCTTATTGCAAAGGGGTATCAAGAAAAGACTAGCTTAAAAAGATCATATGGTACCTCTATGCGCTTTAGGTAATTGGAGCAAGGAACGGACTAAGCATGAGTTCGTCTGCGCTCGGTCGCAAGTTGTGGTCTATCTCAAAAGTCTGACTTAAGAACTTAGTTGCTTCAGGACTGGCGCTTTCAGGAATAGTCGGGGCGGCCTTGCCACCTCCGATCTTGAAGATGGCTTGCAACTGACTGCAGTCCGGGAAAGGATGTGCTCCAGTCATCATTTCGACAACTAAGCAGCCGAGAGACCAGATATCAGCCTTGCGTGTGTACGAGGTTTGCTTAACCACTTCAGGGGCCATCCAGAACACCGAGCCTTGCAAAGATGGTCGATTCTTGTTGTTGTTGGCGCCATTAAGAATATTAGACGCCTCGAGCTTCTTGCTGATTCCGAAATCGGAAATCTTGATCGTACCCTTGTTGTCTACAAGGATATTGGCGCCTTTAATGTCACGATGAATGATATCTCGGTTGTGTAGGTACGAGAGCCCATTTAAGATCTGCCTCACGAAACTGCGGACAAGAGGTTCGGGAAGGGCACCATACGAGTTGAGCATTGTCTGAACGGAGCCACCAGGAACGTACTCAAGGAAAATATTCAGGTGCTCAGCCGAGGAGCTGCAGCCGAGATATTGCACAATGTTTGCGTGTCGGAGATCTCGGAGCAAACTAATCTCTCGCTTAAGAGCCTCAATCATACTTTTCTTTCGAGCATCTGTCTGGCTGTTCGCGCCGGGCGAAGGCGTCTCAACTTGCTTGACGGCAAGTAGCTCTCCAGTCACGGCGTGTAAAGCCAAGTAAACGCTACCGAACGATCCTTGACCAATCAACGCACCTTTCATCCACTTGTTATCGTCCCACGACTCGCCAGCTAAGAAGCTTTGTAGCTCCTCGTCGGCATCTTCACCATCCTCACTTAGGGCTTGAGTGATTTCCTTCAAGGATCCAGAGCCCTGGGTACTAGATTCGTCGAAGTAGCTCTGTCGGACATTCCCTTCCGGATCTGTGATGCTTATCGGATTGCTATCCGAACCGCTATCTGCAAACGAAACATAAGACTTGCGGTTAGGCTCGATAGGAGATTCCTCCTGAAGAGTGTCTAGTACTGATGAAGCGATCGAATCCCGGAACGAATGCGGCATACGACCTTGATTCTCACGAGCCTTGACTTTGGCAAGCTGACCACTATTCAACCATGAATCCGCAATAGTCGGGATAGGGGGTGCATCTTGGATACTAGATGCAAAGCTGAGGTTGCTAGCGACACTGAGTCGGCTGTTCACCTTGCTTAGGCGAGTAGACCTACGCATAGATAGTCGGGCGGTTCGGTCAATGTCTTCCCTAGGGTGATCAGGGAAGTATGAAGTGAGATCCGAAGTAATCAACTCGCTAGGAGGTCTCAGACCACCGAACGGTCTCATGACCTTTCGTCTCGGGACGGCCCTAGCGTCACTAGGTGGTCGTTCTAAATCCCTAGCAGTATTATTGAGATTCCTCTCGCGGTCCTGGAAGGAAATTGGCGACAACGGCTGCTGGAGCCCCTCATTCCAGCTCTCACCTAATATCCTTTGTACCTTTTCTTGACTCCTCTTATCTTGTATGTTTCCGAGACCCTGGTTGTGGTATTGTTGGGCTTCTTCCATGGCAATAGAGGCGGCTCGCTGCAACTCTTTCTCTCCTGGCTCTCCGGACGGTACTCTTCGGAGAATGAGGCGGTTTCTCTCGGGTCGCTTCTGATCCTTAATGATGCGCCATAGTTCGGTATCGCCGAGACGACGACATTGCTTAGGGTCGGGGTCAACACCGGCTAATATCCAGAAACAGTAATTGCGATCATGGTCCTCTCGTAACGCGAATTTTCGTAACGTTACCCGCATAACTTCTTCGCAGGTATTGCAGTCGGCAATTTTAACAACTTTCGTAACGCCACCGTTCCAGATGACACGGATGACGTCTTGACCCTGTGGTAAAGCAGCCATCAGCGAACCATCCTGACTTGAGGCATTCCGCGTGTGTGTAATTACCAGACGGCTCTGCATAGTCGGCGAACCAGGTCCTCGAGCGGTCGAATTTGGTGTCGTATTGCTCATATACTGCTGGTTCTGATACCTCGGTGGCCTAACACCTCGGGCATCAGTGTTCGGTAAAGGCGAATTCGGTCGTGATGAGGATTTCGCGACGTCCGCCATCGAGGTCATAGGTAAGGTTTGCATGTCAAGCCGCGAATACCTCTTGGTAGACGCCGTGGCAATACCACGGCCGCCGGAGTTGAGTTGTCGCGGGGACCCCGTTGAAGAGGGAGCATATTGGGAATCCAGTCCCCCGAAAGAATCCTGAAGAAACATGTTAGATAACAAATTCAGACAATTTCTGAAGCCAATCCAAATATGCTCTTCACAGGCATAACACGCGCACTTAGTGTCAACTTACTCGGTTGCGCCTCTTCTGGTTCGCGTAAGCCTTTGTCCTGAGCTTCTTAATACCCAGAAATAATCGAACTCGATCGCCGACTTTCTCGATGCCCATCTCTTTGAGGACCTCCTTATCCATTTCCAGCAAGTTCTCGCCGTTGATGTTGTTCTTCCTGAACAATTTTTCATACTCGCCACATTTAACACTCCTCAGATAGTCGCAGACTTGATCCTCAGTCCAGTTCTTAACTGCATCGGGTCCATCGAGATCGGAGAACTCGGACTCGGTCGGGCTGGCGAAGGCTTGACCCGCGGCATGGACGGCAGGTGGTCTTCTCGAGGGCGTCATACCAGATGATTGCGCGCTCGAAACCAGAGTGGAATTCGAGGAGGCCAGCGAAGCCGGAAAAGACGATTTCGAAGCCAGCATAGCCATTGTGAATGATTGTCGACCAAGGCTGTCAGGTACGCATGTGAAGGGAGAATTGGAGACCTGCGTAAGAAAAGAGGACTTGATTAATTCTTTGTTTCCAACTCTTTTTTTTTTTCTTTCTTTCTTTCTTTCTTTTCTTTCCTTTTGCGGGGTGGAACAAAGAGTCAACTTTGCACCGAGTAATGGCGAGAACCCCGAATGAATTAAGGAAAGTCGGCAAGCCGAGAAGTGTATCGACGAGATGAGTGTGGAGCGTAGATTTCAAGAGGATTTAGAAGTCGGGGGAATTATTAATTGCAGGAGTCGATTTACAGGTACCTGAGTTGATGTACATACCTGTTAGCGGGCTAGAGTTCGTTGGCGTTGGTGTAACTGCCAAGGGTCTTTCTGAGATGCAGGCTGACTAGCCCCACCTCCTTAGAATAGCTAAATCGAGGCACAGGGGTGGATTCGCAGGGTGGATTGCTGGATTGCTGGATTGCTGCGTAGTACGCTGTATATAGCGTACAGTGTGCCTACCAGGTTTAGGTACTTGGTCCAATAGGCCCTGTATATACTAACCCGCGCTATGCTTTAGCCTCCCGGTTCGCGGGGGTTTCACTTTGTCTGCCACTATGTACACTTAACCTAGGGCAAAGGTGGCCGCTGGAGCACAGATAAGCTTACAGTATATCTGACTGTGTAGTACTCGCTGTTTGGATGCGTTTAAAGTGTTATGATTGGTCCGAATATACCTCTGTAAAGAAAGATGGCGGTAGCTGACGGCGATAGTTGAAACTCGTTAAGGAGTGCACGGCCGCTGGATCAGCAGAAAAATCCCGTCATCGACTCACCCACAAACGGCAACCCATCGTTCTATCGGACGAGATGGAAAGAAGAAAGAACGATTCGTTTCAATACGGACATAATGTCTAAACATAGGCAACAGTGCATAAGATGCATACGATAAGATGCATACGATAAGTTGGCTACTCGGCTGACAATCATTCGCTCTCTCTCTTTTTCTACTATTACGCATCTCCCCCTACGATGGCACCTACGATGCAAGATCAAAGATAAGGCAAGGTCTCTTCATGATAATTCGCGTGTGCATGCTTTATGCTCTATTTTTACAACCTCCTTATAATAAGCCCGGATATATACAAGACGTACCTAGGTATTCATGTAACTGGGTGTAAGTGTAAGTGTAGGTTTATACATATGGTATGTACGGGCGGCTAGGTACTCGTCAACAATCACATCTCGCCCCCATTCAGAAGTCGGGGTGCGTACCCCTTTTGGGCACATCCGTATAGCTAATTTCGATACCCGTACACAAACCTCCGTGTCGGTGTCGCCATTATGCTAATATGTTAACACAGAGCCTTA